ACATTTACTGTTGGGAATACTTAGTTCCCATATATCATTTTAAAGAAAATGAACTTTACTCTAACTCTTTACTTAACTTAAAGCTTAAGTATTAAAACAAAGTGAAAACATTTATAAAAGACTTCTTAAAATATGGTTCATACCGAATTAAGGACATGAACGACTTAATGCAAGGTTTTCAATAACCATAGATAGAACTCACTTGGAACTCAAGAACTTCAATAATACTACTCACTTCAAGAATGCTCGACTCAGAGGGTTCATGCGGAATTTATGAGCATGAACTACTCAACTCAAGGGGTCAAAGATACTTCTCGTTTCAAGATTGTTCGACGTATAGGGTTCATGCGGAATTATGGACATGAATAACCCAACTCAAGGACTTCATGGGTAGCATGTAATAGTCCCATGATTAGGAATGTAATCTGAAATGGGTTAGAAACTCAATACTTAAGACTTAGGACATGAAGATATTACTCCTCTCATAGATACTCAACTTTTGGAGTTCATGCGAAATTTATGGGCATGAACGACTTGACTCATAGGTCTACATAACATTATGGAACTCATGTATACAACTCTTCTCTTTCTCTTACTTACTTCCTCAAAACTTAACTCAAATTGATGATGGATCTCAAAGGATTCACAATTGAACTCAAAGGCTTTCTTGAACTCTACTCTTAACTCTCTCTTGAATCATGTGAATAATGAATTCAAAAGTTATGGTTCATGATATGAAGGATATCATGAATGACAAAGTAGATTCATGAATAAATTCTCCTCATCCTCATACTCACTTGCTCGAGTCTTGAAACAAGTTACTAGAAGTTGTAGAAAACTCCTCAAAAGAACTCGAAGGGACTTTATTAGAATGTTCGAAAGAATTCTCAAAACCTAACTCTTAACTCTACCTTGAATTTGAATTATGAATTCAAGGTTATGATCATGTTAGGAATGATTTTAGGTGTTTAGAAATAGCTTAGAGTAGTTAGAATCGAAAGGGAGTGAAGGTGCACTTTAAACGAACTCAAATAGGGCAACCGACGACAAACTGGGTGGGGCAAGTGACCCTGGCGCTATGGGTGGCGTGGGGAGCCAGGCCCCCAACCCAGAAAATTTGACGAACTTCTTTACTCGTTTTCTCACCCTAACTCGCCTAGAATCGAACGGTTTCTTCCCCAAATCATTAGAATCAATTACTTAACATAAGTACACTCTAATCTACTCAATACATCCCTTAAAATACTCACTTTGGTCTTAAGAAATCATCCAAAACCCAACACAACAAGATTTAGAATGAACTTCAAGAACACCTATCATGAACTCATCAAGAATTCAAATCTTTCAACTTCAAGAATGAAATTTCGCTGAAAAATAATATGATTGGCATGTGGGTGAACAAACCCAACACTATGGAAGCTTACATACCTCTTAGGGATCAAACCCATGGCGACAATCTGTCAACAACTCTCAAGAACGTCAACGAACGCCTTCATCCTTTCTCTTTTCTCTTCTTCTCTCTTCTTTTTTTCTCTTCTTGAACTCTCAACTAAAACCCTAGGTGTAAACTAGGATTATAAAACTGAACCTAATCAGATTATACCCTTAAAATATTACTAAAAATGAATTAAATCTGATTGGGTAAGGAAAAGACCAAAATACCCCTCACTATTTTCGGCTAACTTTCCTTAACTAGACAGCCTAACTTCAAAAGGCCATATCTCACTTATCCGAACTTGAAACTTAGCTAACTTGGCGGCATTGGAAAGACAATTCAAAGGTCTTTCCTACGGTATCTTGTAGCACATCTAACTCATCATGTGCTAGGAGTTATGATCATTTCAAGTTGACCCAAAACTCAAAACTTAAGCATAACTTGCAAAATTTCAGATTTTGCTATCTTCAATTTAGTTCTTTTTCAAACTCAAGGTGCTACATCTAGTGAACTTAATACTTAAGAAATTTTAATTCCTCGGTAAAATCCTCCTCACAAAGAAGGATGGTTCAAGTCTTAGCTCAAAAAATTTCTGGGGTGTTACAGTTTGAATTAATTACCACTGGCGACCTCCTTTTGGCTATAATTATGTGTCTCTCTCCTTTTTTCCTCTCTCTAGCCTCTCGCCTCTCTCCTCTCTTATACATATACAAATATAAATACAAATTATACATATACATGTATAATTATATAACATATATACGAATACACTTCGCCTCTCTTCACTCTCTGTCCTCTATCCTCCCTCTCCCAATCTTGCTCGTCAATTATACAAATACATACGTATAGCAATTACATATATATTATATGACAGATATACATATACAATTCGACAGATATATAAATACAATTCACCGCTCTCCACTATCTGCCCTCTCTCGCTTGCATCTCTCCTCCCTCTAACATGTAGTTACGAATCGTAATTAGCAAATCGTAGTTATAGAACCAGAGGCGTATTCAGGATTTTGAGATGATGGGTGCACTGTTATAAAAAGGTTGATCTATGATACAAATTTGATCGGTTCGACAAAAATAAAACAAGATAAATATAAATTTCAAATTTCTAACCTCGCGGAGAGGTGCACCCAGTCATAATCGCATTGTGTGATAGTTCAAGTGCGGGTTCACACATCTATATTTCAATATATTTTTAAAAAATATAACACTACTATATATGATCTCGGGAGGGGACCATGGGTTCACGTGAACCCGGTGACCTCCCCTTAGATACGCCTCTGTATAGAACCTAATTAAGTTATTTTTAATATCTATTTGCAAGAAAAAAAGACAATTATTTTTATGACCAATCAAATCCTTAGCCACCCCTTAAAAAGTCTTTATATATATAAAATATTAGGATAAAAGCAAAATGCACCCGGGTGCAAACCTAAATGTACTAAAAAAGAAGAAACTTCTCTTTCTTTCTATACACAATAATGGCTGCCCTTTCTCAGCTGTTAGCTCATATCTACACCATGACTCTAGTCTTCTTCACCATTCTAATCCTCGAACTCGTAATCTTTGTACGCTCCATAACCGAGACAATCTCCGATTCCGGCCGCGGCCGCCCCATCACCACCAAGCAATACATCAAACTCATCGATGAAAAAAACCCGGTCAGCCGGTTCAAAACCGCATCAATCAACCCGGACGGTTTTTCCGATACCTGTGCGGTTTGTTTATCGGCATTTGAAGACGGCGAACAAGTACGGAAGTTGAAATGCAAGCATATATTTCATAAGGATTGTTTGGACACGTGGCTCCAACAGGATTCTGCCACGTGTCCACTCTGCCGGAATAAGGTGCTGCCGGAGGAAATTGTGGTTAAATTCCGGCAGCACCGCAACCACCACACGGAGTATGAAGGGAGTGATGAGGAGCTGATTTTTTTGTTATCTGCATTACATGGTAATTATATTCGTAGATTTTTATAAATTATTAGGAAAATTTTTGTAATTTTTTTTTTGTATATAAAAAGATTTAGAATATTAAAAAAAGAAAGTAATTAGTACAATAATTGAGTGTGCTTCATACACTTGGGGATTTCTGATTGGTCAATTATATGCCAGATAGATAATTTAGATATTTTATCCTACTTTGAGTGTCGGTAATATTAACTAAAAATTGTAATTAAATTATTTTATTTTATTTTTTTTTTAAAAAAGAGGTAGTGTTGATAATATGTATAGATTTGTTTGATAACATTATCTGGCAAGTGTTGAAAAATTGTTGGTCATGCTCAGAATAGTGGTGGCCTACAAAAAGTTTGGCATGGAGTAATTAATTAAATTAATATAAAAGAATGGTAGGTGAAATGCTTGAAATTATTTTGAATTGATAGCTCTAAAAAAAAAAAGTGGTAAGTATTCATTTTTCTTCTTAATCTTATTTTGTCAAATAAAACCGAATTACCCCATATATTTTTTATACTACTTCACAAAATTTAAGAAGAAAAATATAAATTTTATTTTTATCTAATTGAAGATTAAAAAAAATGATTGGTTACAATATTTTTATTAGGAAAAGATTGTGTTTAAAAAGAAAAAGAAATAATATGTTTATTTAAATAAAAAAAAATTGACTCAAAAGTAACAATAAAGACATGTTTGGATCAAATATTATTTTCTGGACTAAACTAAATTATTAACTGAGAATATTCTTAATCAATTTCACATAATTTAAAAATATTTTTGACCTTTTTTTTTTGTTTAAAATGAATCCTAAGGGCTAAGATAGGGAAGTTCTTTTATGATTTTAAAAAAATAAATAAAATAATAACTATTCTATTTATGAAACGGGAGGAGTTAAGAGTGTTACATCAAGAGCATTTTTTTATGTTTAATTATTTGATAGTTTAAGTAGTGAATACAAATATATTTATGTCCACCCTTTGTCAAACTTGATTTAAAAAAAAAGTTCTCAAAATTCAAGAAAGGGGTTTTTCTTTTAATAAGTTAAAGAATAAATGAAAATAAAAATCTATTTTTAAAATAGAAGTGAGTTGTGGATATGGGTGTTCAAAACGGAATAGTAATCAATAAGTCAATCACAAAATTAACTTATTGGCTTATTGATACTGGGTTATTGAATAAACAGTTGGTGAACGGATTAGAATTTTATAATTAACAGTTTATTGATGTGGGGTGGATTATTCAATTTTCTTATTGGATAAATCATTAACTAGTTACCATATAGACAATTTTAACTTAGGTATATTAGCAACATTTAATATTTTTCCATAATATAGAATTATATGTTATTAGTCCTAAGGCCGCAAAGCTAAAAATTTGAAAACACATTTACTTTCCTATTATTCACTATTACATTATTAAAAATCTATACTAGAAGAATTTTTTAACTGCATTTAAAATAGGGAAAAATAAGTCATTTTTTAAAGGTGCGTTCATGGAAAAAAGAAAAAGATAGAGGTTAGCCGATACACCATTCGATAACCGTTCGATAAGTGTTAATTCATTATCGAACCAATAATATCTTATAGATTAGCTAGAGAATTAGTAAATTAAAAATTGATATTCATTAGGTCAAACCGTTAAGCGAAATTATCCATCTGATCCATTAGATATACAGCCCTACTTGTGGGAATAACATAAAAAGAAATTATGGTATGAAATCGTTTTTGTTAGAAAATGTTCTATCCTTACTGTGAAATATTTTAGCATAAATTTAAATTTAATCAAACTTTAAAATAGATATCGGATGAATCAGAAAAAATAAAATCAAACCATATAATTTAGCACTTTGTGATGGGTTTGACAACTATAGAAACTCCAAAAACAAAAAAAAAACTACTTAGAAAAACATATTTAGTTACGTGTCCTCATCTAATACTTATGACAAACAGCTGGCAAAACTTTTAAAACAGTTGTACAATTTGGCTAAATATCTAAAATAGCCTCTCAAATTTGGCTAAATATAAAAAATAGCCTCTCAAACTTGGTAAATTAAGCACTTAAATTTAGATTAATAACCATTTGAAAAAGGGAAAAAGAAAAAATCTACCCTCGAACTATCGTAAATGGTATGTCAATGCCCTCCGTTATACTTTAAGGTTGTATATACCCTTACCGTCAATATTTTGGGTTTTGTATACCCTTGAGACTAATGGCTAACACGTGACTTCATCCCAACGACTTACCTGATTTATTTATTTATTTTTTACCCAAAATTGGAAAACCCGCCCATTTCATTTAAATCCACCCGAAACCTTTTTTGAAATTAATTCGAATATATTTGAACAAAGCTACAAATCAAATTCAAAATCTTTGCAACAATAACAAATTCATGTGGTTTGATTCGAATTCCGTCTAGTGGAGATGATGGAGCATCATCAGATCTACTCCCTCACCAAAATTCAATTCGTTCTCCCTTACAATTTGAGGGAAAATAACGATGGAGAAGCTTTGAGAATTTCCGACCAGATTACCCGATGCACTGTCGCAAGGCATTTCGTCTAATTTTTGGGGAAAGTTCGTGGAGTTTTGATATCTAGGGTTTATTTCACACCCACTTATCTTCTGCATCAAGAAATTTCAGCTCATTCTAATAGCTTGAACTCCGTCAGACCATTATTGCGCATCGACAGTGATTTTCCGGCGGCCTTAATGGTGCACGGCCAATGCCAAGCTGGGCGCCTTTTCAAGGAGCACACAACCCACAAAATAAAACATTGCATTCCACCAAAAGAAACGCCACAAATCTCATTTCTAATAATTCATATGTTTGTGTGATCTTCGGAGAAGAAGGCGGCAACGGCGGCTGTGGTCAATCACAAAATTGGCTTGATGGTTTTGTGCACAATCATCCATGAACTCTAAAACAACCAAAGAACATGGCTAATATTAGTGAAATTTTTTAATAATGCAACAAATTTTTGAGAACAAAAGAAGAGAAGAAGATGGAGCACTGTTTGAAGGGAATTATGGAATATGGGTCATGGGTGTTTTAATTCGGGTTACGGAAGATGGGTGGGTTTATTAATTTTGGATTAAAACATAATAAAAAATTAGGTAAATAATTGAGATGTAGCCACGTGTCCAGTCGTTAGTCTCAAGGGTATGCACAACCCAAAATATTGACGGTAAGGGTATATACAACCTCAAAGTATAACGAAAGATATTGACATACCATTTACGATAATTCGGGGGTATATTTGTCCTTTTTCCCTTTGAAAAATGACAAGTTTTCATAAGTGTGTCCTGCGAAGAATGGTGTTATTATGTCTGTATAGTAATGGATGGTCAGTCGAACACTTTATCAAATAATTATACTATTTGTATAAATAATTGTAAACTATACCTAATTAGTTTTGTTCTTTGAGTTGGTCATAAGTTTATAAAAATAATGTTCTATGTATTTAACAGTTCTAATCTTTTAAATTTGTTATAATTTAATATTTTTTTATTTTCATCAAAAATATTTATCAAATTCTATTGGTTAAATTTTTTGGAAATCATGGAAAAAAAATTCGCAAGAACTTAAATTTAAAGGTACATACTACTAAAAAAGGTCAAATACTCAGAGATAAAATCAACGAAAAATTATTAGTTATATGAAAAAACAGACGGACTTCAAAATATCGGAAAAGAGTGCCTCGAACACAAAAAATCAAGAGAATCCATCATCCATGTAAAATATACTTATTTAGACTTTTATTAAAAAAATTATATAAAAATCACTTTCATTATTTTTTTCAATCTTAATTTTATATTTTAAAAATCAACGTCTATGCATCGATTTTGAACCTAGCACAAACATAAGGGACCATTTTTTGCCATTTTCTCTATATCTTTACGGTATAAATTATTTGAGTGATTTTTACAAAAGTAAATATGTTAGTTAGAGTACGTGCGAAGAACTTTTACTACCACCAATTTTCATCCTTTCCATTTAAAATTCTTTAAGGGCATTTAGCCATGAAAACAAAAAAAATTGTTTTATTTGTAATTCTTAAAGTTGAAGTTAGAGTTATGTTTAATTATATACTTTGTAAGAAATAGTTAAAATTTAAATGTATTTTTGTAATATGGTTTACATCTTAATTTCTAGAACTAGCAAATTCATTCAACTTAATTAATTTATCTTAAATAGACAATTAATTTTTCTTTAAAGGAGTAATATTTTAAAATAAAGTCATATAACGTCATAAATTAGATTTATATATATAAGCTACCATATATTGTTACGAATATTTTGTATTTTATTTGAAAGTTTTGAAGTTACCATTGAAAAAAAAGTTATATTTAATTATACATATTTTTCAAATATTATTGATTACTTATTTGGTATGTGTTTTTCCTTAAAAGAATATACAATATAATTGATAATGCCTTAATTGTTCCAACAAATTTAAATTATTGGCCAGGATATCAAGAACATCAAGTAACATAAAAAGACATCATCACATCAAGCCATATAATTTAGCACTTTAATTATTTGAAAATTCCATAGACAAAAACTTCTACTAGAAAAAAACATATTTAGTGACGTGTTCATCTACTACTTATGACAAACAGCTGGCAAACCTTTAAAATGAGAGAAAAGTACTCCAAATTTTATTAATTTCGTATTCGAATTATTCACGGTCTTAAAAATATATATATTTAATTAAATAAACTTAGATACAATCTCAATACACGTTCGATAAAAATAGAGAAAAGTGTTGAAAACATATGTAAATTTAGCGAGAATTTAATAGTGTATTTCATTCATGTTGCAATATCAGGGGTGCACTTAAGTTCGATTAATCAAGAAAATGAATATTTTAAAGCTATCAATAATTTAAAAATGAAACTAATAATTTACGCCGAGTTTAGAACTAATTCCAATATTTCTCTCTTAAAATAATAAGCATGTTGTACAACTTCTCTTTCATATAAAATTTGGCTAAATATCTAAATTAATCTCTCAAATTTGA